GGTGGCAGGAGCGACTTGGAGGTCTGTGGGTAGAGGCTGATGACGATGCATGATTCGGCGAGCACCAACGTGGCGTAGGCGAGGCTGGAGCAGGGGGTGCGGTGGGTGAGTTTGGGAGCTAAACACCCTGGAAGGCGGTCCCCGCGGCGTGCACACCTGAAGGCGGAGAACTGTGCAAACCTAGCATAGCAGGGTCCGAGAAAGGTAAGGGTCTGAGGGTCTTGCCAGGAGCGAGAGACGCTTGGCATGGCGCGGACCATGTCATTTCGGATGCAGCCGGGAGCTTGCCGTTGATGACAAAGTCGGACGCCACGGCGGCGAGCAGCGCCTAGGATTGGTTCTGAAAAAGCTCGAGGATGCCCCTCCGCACCACGCACCGCACGGCAGGAGAGAACAGCGCCGTGATGCCGAGGCCGAGCCGCTCGCCGCACTGGGGCGGGACGCTGAAGCAGAGGAAGCCGATGAAGTTGAGCACCACCTGAGCGGTGGGGAGAGTGTGTGTTTGGATGCCCAGCGGTGCATGGCTGTCGGGCGCTTTGCGCCGCGCGTTCAACGCGATGTAGCCGCGGGTGTACGGCTGCCAAGCCCGCTTGAACACGACCTGCAGAGCACGCGAGAGAGAGAGTGCGTGCGCGCCAGTCGTGCTTGCCGAGGTGTGCAGTGGACTAGCAGTGGCTTCTCGCTCTCCGGCCCCATTCCCCATGCCCATGCGTGTGCGCGTGTGCGGCACCTCGTAGAGGAGGACAGGCCAGTCGTTCTCTGGGTCGCCGGGGTAAGGCGGGTAGACTTTATCGCGGCATTCGACGCCCTCGAGCGAAAACTCCTGGAAGGACTCGCCCGCGGTCTCGGAGCCTCCAATGCTGAAGCCGTCGCCCATCTTGACGGGGCGGAGGTAGAGGCCGCTACTCACACAACCGCATCGTGAGGCAATCGCCGTATCTCTCTGTACTCCTCGAGGTTGGTCGGCCTGAAGCTCCAGCTGCCAAACTCCATCGTGCATCCCAGCTCGTCGAACGGGAAGCGGTCGAGTCCTACGAACTTGCAAGTGGGGCGGAGGTGGCCGGGCCGTGACCAGAAGACGGTGCCGTCGCTCGATACACTCGCGAAGGCGTTGGAGAGCGAGGTCTGCATCGACTCGCCCTGGTTCCACAGGGTCATGTCGGGCGTCCAAATGTCGGACGAGACGTCGGACGAGGCGCCGTCGCCGACCCACAGTTGCAGCGTTGCGAGGCCACCGTACTGCGAGGCGTTCCACGCCAGCCGCGGGTCATGCCACCGCAGCCGGTACCACACAATTAAGTCGGTGGCGTGGTTGACTACGTCCACAGAGTGCACCCGGTGGAAGTTGATGCCCATTTCCACCTTCAAGCCCGACCGCTCCCCCCCGTCGGCCAGCGCCGCTTCCCAAGCAAATTCCCACGGATATGCTCCTTTGTCGTATGAGACGAGGAGGTCCGCCCGCAGGCGGCCCGAGGCGCCGTTATCGGCTAGCGCAGGCGTCGCGATGTGCAGGGCCAGCAGGCTCATCGCCAGGTTACGCAGCATCAGCGAGCCGCCACAGACAGGTGCTTGTTGGACTTATTTAGGAGCGGGACGAGCCGCCCCCCCGCCGTTTTTCATCGTTTATGGAAAGGTTGATCGCGGGCGGCCGCAGCGTCCCAAATTTAGGAATCAAGGCGGAATGGGCGGCTATACACGATGGAACATCTTTATTTTCGGTGTACGGCTCTTACTATGCACTTTATGC